AAGCCGCCAGTTCGTGGTCGAGGTGGACACTTCCGACACCGGAGTAGGAGCAGTGTTATCACAACGCTCAACCACTGACTCTAAGCTCCGCCCGTGCGCTTTTTTCTCACGCCGCCTTTCCCCGGCCGAGCGGAACTATGATGTGGGCAACCGGGAGTTACTGGCCGTCAAGCTGGCTCTGGAGGAATGGAGAAATTGGTTGGAGGGGTCAGTCCACCCGTTCATTGTGTGGACCGACCACCGAAATCTCGAATACTTCCATTCTGCCCAGTAACTGAACTCATGCCAAGACCGTTGGGCTCTGTTCTTTGCCCGTTTCAACTTCACCATCACCTACCGCCCAGGAAGTAAGAACATCAAACCCGACGCCCTCTCTCATCAGTTTTCCCCAGACGAGGTAGACCCAGCTCTAGACACGATTGTTCCACCCACCTGTGTCCTAGGGGTTCTCACCTGGGAGATAGAGTCTGCAGTGCGGGAGGCTCAGCAGACCCAGCCGGACCCAGGAGGTGGTCCTCCTGTGCGCCTGTTCGTTCCCCTTTCCGTCCGTTCCCATGTCCTACAATGGGACCATGACTCCCGACTCTCCGGCCACCCTGGGATAAGACGTACAATCAACTGGCTCCGGCGCTCCTTCTGGTGGCCATCTTTGGACAATGACACTCGAGCTTACGTCCTAGCCTGTACCACCTGTGCGCGCAACAAGGCCTCACACAGATCCCCTGTCGGACTATTACGATCTCTGCCTGTTCCCCACAGGCCTTGGTCGCATATGGCATTGGACTTCGTCACCGGATTTCCCCCCTCCGAGAGCAACACAGTCATCCTGACCATCGTGGACCGATTTTCCAAGGCGGCTCACTTTATTCCCCTTCCCAAGCTCCTGTCAGCCCGCGAGACCGCAGAATTGTTGGTTCAACGTGTCTTCAAGCTCCGCGGAATCCCTGTGGACATTGTTTCCGATCGGGGTCCTCAGTTCTCCTCCCTAGTTTGGAAGGCGTTCTGCCGCAGCCTCGGTGCCACCGCTAGCCTCTCCTCCGGCTTTCACCCCCAGACCAATGGGCAGACAGAGAGGCTTAACCAGGAGCTAGAAGCCATGCTCCGATGCGTAGCGGTGGCAAATCCGTCTTCCTGGAGTCTTCACCTGGCCTGGATATAGTATGCACACAACAGCCATACCTCCACGGCAACGGGTCTCTCCCCTTTCGAGGCCTCCATTGGCTACCAACCTCCCCTTCTACCCAGCCAAGAGGTTGAGATTTCCGTCCCGTCTGTCCAAAGCAACCATCGCCGATGCAGGAGAGTCTGGAGAGAGACTCGTGCCGCCATACTTCATTCTTCCGAACGAAACAAGCGCCTGGCTGATCGCCGCCGCACACCCTCCCCCACCTATCTTCCCGGCCAACAGGTCTGGCTTTCCACCAAAAACATACCCCTACGCACAGAATCCAGGAAACTGTCCCCCAGATACATTGGCCCATTCCCCATCGTCTCCGTTTTCAACCTGGTCATGGTCAAGCTCAAGCTCCTGCAATCCATGACAATCCACCCTGTTTTCCATGTGTCTCTTCCCAAGCCCGTACACTCCAGTCCTCTGAACCCCTCCGTGTGTTTTCAACTTACCTGCCGTCCAGTTTCGAGCCTCGGGTTTTCACCTGTACGAAGAAGCCTTCCAGTTCGTTCCTTGGAGATCAGCTGTGAAGTCTTGGCGATCCTGTGTCGAGCCTCGGGTATCACACAGTCGATCCAGCCTGCCTGCCAGCCGCGGACGCGGATTAGCCACTTTCCGGCTAGGATCCGAGCAGAGCGCGAGGACGCGCCTCCGTGTTGACGTGACTGTCGGCTTCGTCTGCCGCTCCGAGGGATTAGCCACTTTCTGGCTTGGACCCGTGCGGACCGCGTGAACGCGCCTCCGTATTGACTTTATCTATTTCCTGTTTTTTTTCCCTGACTGAGAGAATTAAAGAATCCTGGATTGAGAAAGAACTCTGCTGTCCTGTGTCTGCATTTGGGTCAGTGAACACACCACATCATAACACAAAGAGCTTAAGGAAGAGGAGGCTGTTTGTGTAGCGCAGCTTGACGCAGGGCTGAGATGTAAGTGGAGCTGGGCCTGGATAAAGGTCTAAACAGACGTGAAGGAAGAGCAGTACAGCTTCCTGCTGTCACAGAATTTTAAATACATTGATAAGGCAGGGTATGCTAAATGCAGCCTCTGCTCCAATGAGATAAAGTACAGCAACACAGGCTCACATGCCCTCTCATCACACTGTACACACTGTTCACTGTAATGACCACAGCCAGTGTACTAACAGTCCCAACAGTCCCACGTTGCTCTCAAGAACCCTGAAGTAATGAGAGAGGGTTAAGGTGCCTGTACCTTCATTTCAGCGGGTTACTAATGCAAAGGTGTGTATAGATTACAGCTACTATTTTACTCTTGATAAACTACTGTAGCCAGAGTAGATTATCATTTTAATTTAAATAATTGAACTGGATTGAATGCATATTTATTGCAAATAGAAGATAGGCCACAATTCTAACAGCTTTACAGTAACAGTGGAAGTTCATATTAAGTCATACAGTAACAGGGTTCAATGAAAACGAATCACTTTATTTTGTACAGGCGATGGTTTTCGCTACTCTTGCTATCTGTTTTTTTTTATGACTAAAACTTTTGAAAATGAGACCTCAGTCTCAATGGATTTTGTCTAAATAAAGGTTAATAATAATATTGATTGAAAAAAAGATGAAGCTAACTAGCCAGCTGTTCAACTAGAGCTGAAATACTGATTAATAACTGAATAATAATTATTTTTTTTGCTTATGGTAAATATTGTCTTATCACTTAATTTTATTCTCAGAGTACATCAGAATGTTACATTTTAAAGCTCATATTTAAAATAAAATCCTCCCCCCCACAGGTGTTTGGACTTGTCACCTTTTATGAGTTTGCAGGTATGAAATTATGTCTCAATTATTGCACTGTGTTCATTTTTATTGTTATGCACCATTCACCAAGTCAAATTCCTTGTATGTGTAACGTACTTGGCAATAAAGGATTCTGATTCTGATCCTCCTCTCAAGACCAAAAAATCTAGTCGCATCTAGATGCTCTGGATAAATGAAAATATTTGGGTGCTGAAGTGAAAATGCCGCAAGGTAGAGTGGATGTGGAAATTATCAAAATTCACCGTTCAACTGGAACTATAATATTTTGTAGGGGTTAAGGTAGAAATCGATCCAGCATAGGAAAAAGGTAGTCAGAAACTTCAATAAATCCATGTTTTCACAGCAACATAAATATATATTAGAGATCAATTATGAGCTGTTTATCTTCCTAATATTAGCTCTAAGCAGATTATAATACATCATTAAAACTACTAATGCTGGATTTTTTTATCAATTGAAATACAATTTTCCAAATCATTTGAATTGGTTTCATGAAAATCACCCCTATAGATCACTTAAACAAAGTAAAGTAAATTAGTTGATGATTATAATATTATAGATTATTGGCTATAGGCCTATTACAATTTGACTAAAATGAGGTGAACCGAATGAAAACTTTATATAATTAGATAAAACAGATGTTGATAAACAGCATAATTTGCAAATGTAAATAGATAATAAATCGCAATATGTCACAATGTTGGATATTGCAATACTCAGTATATCGCAAAAAGGTATAAAATCGCAATAATATCTTTTCGTGACTTGGGTAATATCTTATCGTAGGGCCTCTGGTGATTTTGCTATGCTAATCAACAATAATCAGTTCAAGCCTTGAATGTTGTTCAACATTGTGAGCCGTGTCATTGATTTCCCCCGGACAGACATTAGATGCTACTGCTGAAAAATCCTTCTTTCCATATATGCATGACATTAGGCAACAAAACTACTTAGTTAGGTTTAAGAAAGATCATTGTTTGGTTTTTAATAATGACGGAAGTTACTGAAGTATTCAAATTAGGTGACAAATAAGTCATCGTTGCCTTCTCGTTTCACATGAGGAACGAAGAGCGGGATCGCTTTTTGTTGGACCCATACACCTTCCCTACCACCCTGGGCTTTTGCGGTCTTTAAAGTTCCTCATTCATGATAACATGGGTAACATATTAAATGATTTTGTGGGATTCCGGTGCATTCTTAGGTACAGCCACGAATGCTGGATGAGACCAGCCTGACAGGTTAGAGCAGCACAGTGCCTGCGTGAGCTGCGGCGAGGCTTTACCGTGTGTCGGCTACATCTCTTTTAGAGATTCCATGTCTCTCATTCACAGCAAAAATACACAGTGAAAATCATCTTTTGACCGTATATTGACATTCTGCCACTAATATTACTACAGTTTCAGTGTCTGTATCTATAGAATTGGGTTATGTTTAGGCTGTCACAACACTTGGTTAAGGCTAGGGAAAGATTGTGTATTTAGTATGAATAATATGGAAGCCAAGAATGGTTGTGATAGCATTTATATTTTTTAAAGCCTTTAGCTCACGATAAAAAGTTTATTATTTGGTTGTCTCAAGAAAATGAATGTTGTTATCACAAGCTAAACAGGAATACAAACTGCACCACCAAGTGATATCTTCTTTTTCAGGCGGTCTTGGTCCGTTTGTTCAGTCTGAGTATGATTGAGAGCCTCTACACCAGCCCAAACACACCAAAGATAATTTGAACGGAATCAACCACTTCATTCTGACATCAGACAAAATGGAAACTTCCTTTTAACCAAAAGGTGTCAGACCACAGAAAAAATATTGTTACGTCTTGACAATGAAATTTGCTGGCCCAGTTTTCTGTCCAACAGAAGTCAGTTGCAACTGTGGCTCTATGGCCTTCAAGCTATACAACCCGTTAAAAGGCATAGTCTGTGTGACATTTGAATAGATGTCACTGTTGTACTGCTACTTGAATGGGCCCAAACAGAAGGTTTAATTTGTTTTTTTTAAATAATAAACAGTACATACTGTAGTTATCTATTTGGTTGAGTCCTTACCCCACATACGGCAGCCTGCATCATGGCATCGAGACTGCCTTCTGGAGAGTCCAAGTTCCCAGAAATGAACTGCTCTGTCACTTTGCTTTTGAACTCATCTTCCCTTGCTGTCATTCGAAGCACATGTCTGTAGCCAAAGGCAGCCTGGCACTGCTGGTCATTCTCATCACATGGCTTCAGCAGTTTCTCCTTGTTGGTGTTAGTGTAAGGAAGGACGGTCTTATCAACAAAGGCACCAAACCCTGTAGTTATAGAAACGGCTATTATTTTATTTCTTTATAAGGTAGCACAGGTTCAGCAAACCATTGATCATTGAGATGCATTAAGAAATTTACACACTTAAATAAAATCATGTAATACAATATCCTGTAAACAATTTGATTTGCCTGCAAAATATTTAAAGATTTTGAAGACCTCCTATTTCTAAAGCATCTAAAAGTGAATTGACCTTTTTACAATCCCTAGACATGTAAATAGTGCTTTATTCAGGGGACTATTTGTGACAGTCACGTGATTACGAGCGCCAAGTTACAAAAATTCAGAGGTTCACGTTTGTGGAGATAAGGAGGAAGTATTGGTAATCACGGCTCCATCTGATCAAGGAAGCATTTTTGTCTACTGGAGATAAGTACACTGTAAGTTGTGGCTTTATTATAAAGTGTTTTCAAATAATAGGTATTAGTATTTTAGATGATTCAAGTTGTCAGAATTAGATTATAATCAAATTACCTATTTGAGCATATTCTGTGATTTTCTTCAGAGCAGCAAAAAGACGTTGTCCCAGTTTTTTGACATTTTCCAAGTCATCTTTCATGGAGTAAGACAGGTCCATCAGATAGTAGAGATCGACTGGATAACCCTTAGCTCTTTTAAAAGAAACACTGAATGTGGTAGGAAGCCCTGTAACACAGAGAAGAGAAACAAAAACAACAAATACTAACCTGCTCATGTACAGTATGCATATTTAAAGTTCAGTGACAGTACCTTTATACAATTCTCAAATCAAATATGATGGTAGATGGTATTATAACACAATAATCAAAGCAAGTTTTTAGAATTCCTGACTTTTCTGTGTTTTTTTTTATTTGCCCAGCCCAGTCCTGCACAGATCCAAATAATGGCCCTGGAGCTCACAGGTAACTGTTCTGGTTTTACTCCAAACACTGCATTGCTCCAGTCAAAGTTGAGCATTAACTGATTTCACTAACCAGATCGCAGTCTCAGACTAATCTTCTGTGGACTCAGCTGGACAGGCTCCTGTTGGTCGAATGACGCGGACAGAGGATCTTCCTTGACAATTGTTTGAATGTTCTTTGGGGAGATGATTTCTTCCCTCTTGCAGCCCCTCCTTATCAGCTGAGCTTGGGTGTCACAGCGTACTGCATCCTGCTCACCTGCTTTGGTGAAATTCTGTACAAAGGGAATGCAATAAAACTCAAAAATGACAAGAATTATCTCCTCTACTTAAGATTGACTTAGTTCACTCATCTATGTCTGCATATAATATTGTTATTTGTATGGTTTTAGAAATAAGTTATGAACTTAAACTTTTTAAAGATTAATTTGAAAGGTGCTGTACACTATAAATTCTCAAGTAAAAGCCATATTCAAATTAAAGCTGCAAGCAGCATTGATCGGGCCCTCGCATCTTCACGCTCGTCGAGGTTACAGGCAAGACTGTGGTTGATGCGGCCATATATTTCTGTGACCGTCATTCACTGAGTGCACGAGTTAAACGGTATTTCCTGTGTCGACTAATGGCGTAGTCAGGTCATTTTGCCAGTTAAGCCTCGAATGTTTTGAGTGTACCTCCGAATACAATCATAACTGTAATTCTGTAAAAATTGACAAAAAACTGAATGTGTCTTCAGTGTTAGTAATATAACAGACTGTCAAAGTAAATGCAGGTAATTTGTTTGTGCAGGTAGCTCTGACAATCACTGCTGAGAGACTCAAAGCTGGAAGCGTCAAGGAGAAATAGGAGAATGTATAGTTCCATGTGGAAAAAAAAACATTTTGTAAATAATTAAGTTTAAGCCAAAAGGTGAGCCAATGTAGAATAATCTATCATTCAAATTTATCTGGGTGCAGTTTGATTTTATTAAACAAACTTCACATTCTATGAAATTACTTTACATTACGGCCTGTTCCAAAACAAACAAAAACAATTACATTTACTATTAATGAAAACTCCACTTACAAGCGGGAATTAGAAACCTTTTTTATCCAATTTATGCTCTCCAAACATCCTAGGCTGCACACATTTAGATCAGAGAAGTATTTTTCTGGTGGTGTGCCCACGAACCCTTTCAATAAGTTCAGTGTTTGGGCCACTGTAATTATAGAATCCTGCTTACGTCCGTGGTTGCCAGTAGGTGGCGCTATGACTGAGTTAAAATTGGCATGCAGAAGTCCTAAAGTCATGACAAACACGTCAAGTTTGGGACAGTTTTGACAAAGTACAGTTGAGTTACAACAGCTTGATGGATGATGGCGAACCATGTAAAATGGCTGCCACACCACGTCCACGTTGTTCGATGAAACCTCAAGCTTTAAGTAAATTTGAATCACTATGGTCTTTAGATTGATTAAACCAAATTCTAAGTTGATCTGATTAATTCCCTAGGAGGAGTTCATTAAAGTACAGCACCTGGAAATTGTCATACATCTTGGTCAAATGTACTGCGAAGGCTGCTTCGTCGAAATTTTGTAGGGTGCGCTATCGAGCCAACTTGCCACTCTGAAGCATTAAAAGCATAATATGTAACTACAATTTTGACTTTAAATATGTATGCCAAGTTTGCTTATGTTTCGAGCATTTTTAGCCTCTCAAAAGCACCTTTTTTTTTCATGGCGAAGACTGCGTCGCCACGGCAACAGCGTTTGATGAAACATCATGAACTGGCATTATGAACTTCTTATATTTGTGTGGAACTAATTTGATGTTGATCTGATTTATCTACTAAGAGAAACAAGCCAAAGTATAAAGACTTTAACTGACTGTTACCAGTAGGTGGCGCTATGACTATTATACATAATTGGCCTCCAGATGTCTTCAGGACTGGAGTCTAATCAAACGTGAAATCTGGAAAAGATCAGTTTATTTGTTCACGCCGAAGGATCGAAATTTGCCGAGCCGCCACGTCGCCGCCCTTTAACACATTCTTATAATCTTCAAAATGAAGCATTATCAAGGTCTTAAGGCTTTTCTGACAAAAAATGAGAGGGATCTGATTAATCTGTGAGGAGTAGGATGTCAAAGTACACAATTGTAAACTTCCAGTTGCCACTAGGTGGCGCTAATACTATGATTCTAAATTGTCATTTAGATGTGTTCCGGGTCAGGATGTTATAACATATGAGAGATTTGGAGCAGATTAGACAATGTATGGCCAAGTTACAACAACTTCCTGTTTCATGGCGAATGGTGTTTTTTGACGCCACCCCACGGACACATAGTTCGATAACTTTTTGATCTTTGAGTAACTTTTCACTGCCAAGGTCTCAAGAGCATACTGACCGAATCTGAAGTCAATCGGGTCAAATCTCTGGGAGGAGTTTGTTAAAGTACGGTGCCTTGAAATGGTCCAAAAACATCATAAAATTCAAAATGGCCGACTTGCTGTTTGGTTTAGTGAATAACTCCAAGAGGATTTTTTTGTACGTCCCATCTTGTTACACATACCTACCAAATTTCATACAGCTAGGTGAAACCCAATGTTGGGGCTACTCAACAGGGGGCACTATGGAGCCAATACTTCATACCGCAGTTGGACACCCCAATCAGACTGCAATTTTCGCAAATTCTGGCTTGCGTGCCAAATTTCGACATTTTCCCAGTATCCCAAGCACCTCCTTTTTGCGACGAAACACTAAGAATAAGAATAATAATTAAAGCTGCGAGCAGCATTGATCGGGCCCTCGCAACTTCACGCACGTCGAGGGTACTAGCAGGACTCTGGCCATGCATTTCTGTGACCATCATACACTGAGTGCACGAGTGAGATATTTCCTGGTTAGACCAGCAGCATAGCAAGATCATGTTGCCAGGTCTTAAGCCTCAAATGTTTTGAGTGTACATCCGATACAATCATAAATGTAAGCCTTTAAAGATCATTAAGGAAATGAATGTGCGTGAATGTGCTTCAGTGTTTGTAACATAACAGACTGTCAGTTTACTGGGATGGGGTTCAACTCCCTGCAGTGTCCTGCTGATTGTATTTGGACTTACATGAAAGTTAACAAAACAGTAGTGCCATTTGCTGTTACTTGAACACTTTAATTTAACACTGTTTTCATTTTAAGTTCTTCTGTAACTTTAGATTGTAGTGTGAAGCATTCATTGTAACATTTTACCTGATTGTCATGAAGAAGCTCTGGAGAGATCATTTATACTAATGCCCACTGACATGGTTTGAGAATCCACTAGTATTTTGATTTAGTTTCTGTTTGATAACCTAAATTAACTGAATCCAACACTGAGCGGCACAGTTAGGGAAACAAGAGGACACCAGGCCAGGGTCCAGCTACTCAAAACAGTGAGTGTTGCTGCGGCGTAACCAAGTTAAACTCACAAGCAATGGCGAACTCAGGCTGTCTGAGGGGCACATAGTTGCATGCAGTGGGGGAGCCTATATGGGATCGACCCTTTTTTCCCCATTGGAAGGGCACCGTAGAGGACATTTTATCACATTTTCAACCCTAAAGAGCACCTAGAGGACACCTTTGAGCTTTGCAGGCTTCTTCAGGTCGGCGCGGTGTTTTCGATGGTAAGATAGGCTATATCTTAGCACTGCTATGGTATTGCCATAGTAAACTACTTTGAGAAGTTTCGATTTTTACGTAGCTTCTTTCGATTGTCGTAGGGTAAGCTTTAGAACAGAGTTTCAATATTTTCTCTGTGTGTCACACTGTGGGAAAGAAAAAGAGAGCGACAGAGAGAGGCTTTGAGTTAAAACCTGTCTTAAGTCTCGTAGGATTGTTGTTCAGGCTTTTGACACACTTGCAGTGAGTTTTTATAATTACAAATATTGGTCTTCAGTAAATGAAAACAGTATATCTGTTTGAGAAAGTTGTTCCCTCTTTATTGAGATAAATAATGGTTCCGACCACCAATTGGAGAATTCATAGTATGCTGTGAAGTGTGTATAGAGGGAAGAGTCATTACAGTCTCTCGGCAGTTTGTGAAATATTATTTTTGTGAAAAAGTTTTCATCCTGAGCATTAGGGTTGCTCTGCACAACTTCCTTTTCTGTCAGCAGGACGACATTACGCAACAAACATGTTGGGCTTAAAATAACTATGGGTTAGGTTTAGGAAACAAAACGAACGTTAGGTTTAGGAAAACCATCACAAATGCGTCACTCCAAAACATAACTTTGGGAAACGCAGTCTCAAAGCCCTGTGACCTGTTTTTGTTTGACCCCCCCACCATAAGTAGTCTTTCTTATTGATTACTACATCACAAGCTCTGACCGCCGCATTGTCACATGGATGAGTTAAATTTGAGTTTCCACCACGAAAAAGTATCCTGATTAACTTTCTATTGCTATTGTTTTTGTGCTGAGCAACGCACACAAAAGGACAACTTGTGTTGCTCTACACAAAACCAATAGATTGTATTTTGTGACTATTTTACAAACAGCCATGATATTGGGCTGGAAGGGTACAGTGTATACCGTTGATTTAGCTCAACAAAATAAATAATGGAGAAAGAAATAAGAGCAACTGCCAAAATATAGTTCTTAAAATGTAAAACCAAGCAAAGGTCAAGTATGTTAAAAGACTGCGGTCGGTGTCGTAGTTGAGTTAAAATATACGTTTTAGTTATAAGTGTGAGAATCTATCAACTCATCAATAACTGCCATGTAGTTTGAAATTGGAGATTTCATTCAAGGAAAAGTCTCTGCCATCTCTGTAAACATGTCGTCATGTCATGGAGCCAAACAACCCAATGGGCGGTGCACCGGCAGGAAAATAACAGGCATGATATGACTGGTGTCCCTGTGGAGACCTTACACTTAATGTCACAGCAGCCTCCAACATTAGCAGGAAGAAAATATGCTGTTCCCAGTCTGGCATTAATACTGGCTGCTGGGGGGTCTCCCTGGAGATGATTGCCAATCTGTCCGGTCAGAGTTCAAACCAAATTATTATAGCTGCAGTTCTGTCTTAAACCTGACATGTAGCAAACCAGTGCACTGCCTAGCCAGCGAAATAATCTGAATAAGAATAAGATTTTGGTTTGCAGATGAAGTATGGAAGCTTTGATTTGTATAGTGCCACTCTGTATTGTTATTGGTAGATCTATTTATATTTTCAATTAAATCACAGGGATGTAAGGAATAGTAAGATACTATAATGTTAACATTTAAAGTAGACAAAAATGGTCGATTAATGTTAGTCCGACATGTGTGTGTGCCCACGCACATACTTCAGTCCCAGTTGGGCCACCTGAGTCAATTAAGTCTGGACAGACCACTGATGTAAACTCCCATGGTTACATAGACGCTGTGTCTCACCAGCTGTTGGCACCACACACAGTATGGCCCGGATTTAATACAGTCCCCACAGGAGTTGATCACAGACTTCGAGCAGGCTTCCTCTCGTTGACATAATCCTGCAAAGAAAAACACAATCTCTATGTCTCAAGAAACTGCAAAATCAGCACAAACACACACTCTTTTTAGTTTGTTTAGTCATGTAAATACATATTTGTGGTATAGTCTTGCTGGTCTGTTTAATGTTGTACTGGAGTGAAAACTGACTATCTCTGCTGTCAAGAACTCCAAAATCCTTCAATCTTAACTATATATTATTGGTTGTAGTATACATAGTTTATGTATCCTGTTATCATCAACATCTATTGATCTATTGATTTTATTAATAGAAATGTAATTGATATTATTATTAACCAGACCTACGTCCCCAACATTATTCGATATTCAGAGCACTGATACTAGTGAATCAGTCAAAATAAACTGCCTGCATGCAGCAATCACCATATTAGTTCAGACTAGATAAGATGGCCTACAATGTTCTGCTAGATGCTGTTTTGTTCCAGGACAAGATAATGCAACTCGACAGTCTTCATTGTATAAAACACTGGCTTTCCTCTGTCCTTTGCTGATTTGCACATCTCATTCATTCTACTGTGCTGGGAATCCGGCTGCAGACATTTCAATTAAATTTACAGAAAAACCCTAACCCTAACTTTTCCAAACTTACCATTTCTTCCTGTCATCAGGAGTAGAAGAAACAGTAACCAATCCATTTCCTGATGACAAAAAACAAAGACACATAATTTTCTCTTAGAGCAACATTTAAGAGATCAGAGTGAGAATTGTTTGGTATTTCAAAATGTGTACTTAAATCAATTAAGGTGCCTTGGTGTTGATACTTATTTATAGGTGCAATGTGTAAGATCTGGCCACAAGCTCCAAACCAATAGGGATCAGCATTTCACCTCTACGACTGGGTCCATACAGTTTAAATTTACAGTCGTCACTTATTAAAAAAAAAAACGACCACTAACTAACAGCAGGGCAAGAATACACAAAACTCAACCCAACTGCTAAAACTCTGACCAAACGTCGACCATAATAACATGTACACCTTATGATCATGTATAGTTTACATGAGCCATCTGTGTGTTTACTGTGACACTAACTGGGACTGTAGGGAGTTCTCTTTCATTAATAATCCATTAAATGAGAAAACAACCGAGACCTCCATCTCATCCTCCCCCCATCAGGAGAGTTTGCACTGGCTGCAGAGAAACAACTAAATATTATTTTCTCGTTTTTGCCACTTTGGATTTAATCCAATAAAACAAACTCAACGTACATGGACGCTGGACCTTCAACGTGACACACAAGCCCTCTGGCAGCTCTACTTCTTGGTCCTCTCACATTGGACTGAGGACAGACTGGACGGACGCTACAGTCACTCACTATTGCCTCTCCAGGTACAAGTAGTATTATAAGAGTAGTTATCTCAGTAGCTATCTGCAACACAATACATAGACGTCTTTGACATAACGTCAACATTGTAAATTCTTCACATTCTGTTGACAATGCTAATTCATTTTTGAATGTTTTAAACTAGAAGCCTGGCCAGATCTAACACATCCCTTAAAATGTACTCAAAAAGCATTGAGAAAAATCCCATCCTTGACATTTCACCTTAATCTCCCTTTTCCCACAAAATAAAGCTAATGATGTGGTCTTTATAGGCTTGCATACTCACAACCAAATTCTAAATCGCAAGAGGACCACAAATCAAACAAACAGCAAAATGGAGCTGTGAAGATCACAAGCTATTGCATTTGATGTATGTATACAGAGAAGTGAAGTAGAGCAGTGGCAGGTTGCCAACAAAGGGTGCTGTCCTGCCAGTCACTTTGGTTATTCTGTGAAATGGTTATGCAACACTCTTTATTATTTGTTCCTGTTTCTGACAAGTAATAGCCAGCCAGCCAACCGATCAGCATGATAGTTTGAGCTAGAAACACAAATCTTAATGGAATGGTATTTTTACTTCTCATTGTTTTGTCCAAAAAGCTTTTACACAGAGTCAATGGACATTTGTATGAAAGCCATTAGAAAATTGGGCACCCTGCTTATCAACCGACCACCCTTGAGATGTGTTTTGAATAGAGGAAAACCCAGGTCAACACTGCACAGAAAGATCCATCTCAACAGATCTTGTAATTACTGCTACTGTAAGTAGCCTACTGCCTACGTGTAAAACATGTCTAAACAAGGTCACTAACTGTAGCCATATGTATGTCAAATCAGATGTACTAAAACTCTAACCTGCAGAAATAGAAATTGGGAATTTGCTGCGTTGGTTATGATTTGAAAATGTGAAGTTGATGCACATTGACAATTGACAACACAATGGCTTAATCAAAAAATAAAAACCCTATGTTGTGTTGTTTTGTGTTATGTTAAAATATCAAACGTCCTTGAAGAATGATATGTGTCCACCCACTGTCAGAGCTCATGCTAACAACTCGTTTCCTGTACACAAAAGGCTTGGGCTGCACTCTGTGTCAACACCATTTAAGGTCAAAAAGAACCAAGTGTTGTGTTATCAGTACATTTCCTCTTTGTGACTCATAAGAAAGCAGACTATACCGATCTTGTATGTTTGGACATTTGTGTCTTTGTTAATTCAAATTGACACGAAGTACAGTGCACAACACTAGCTCAAAGGACACATTTGTAAGATTAGAGTACATGATGTAGTCCAATACAACACTGGTAACTATTGCCTCAGAAATGAGCAAATGTTTGAATCAACACATTTGTGACACAGTTCCGTTACTGTGTTCAGCCATGAATACAATGTACACTTTTCTTACAGCTCACAAGATATTATCTGGAGACACCTGTAATAAAGCTGTATCTTAATGGAATAATTAAAGATTTACACATATGGACTCTCTTTAAGACCTGAGGATTAGGTCATTAAAAATGCTTCAGTGGTGCTTTTACCAAAACAATTGTTGATGAATGAAATGATGCGAACTAGCTCAACCACAGCAAACCTGGAGCATGGGCCGTTAACAGAATAATGCTTAAGACAGAACCAGACATGCTGAAGCTGCACACAGATGAAACCGACGTCATGGCGATCGTAGATTCGCCCTGACTTTAGACACTCTTTAATCTAAATGAAAAGTTTTGATGTGTTAGTTCTGAGAGGAGAGTCTACACAAAGACAAGCTTTGGGATTCAGAAATCAGGTTGAAAATACTTTTCTTGGTTCTAGTCCAATGTGTCTGCCAGTAGTTGATTCACTTCCTCTCAGAAAACAAGAAGCTTGTCCTTGTGTAAATATAAATTTGCAAACCAGTGGTGTTGGTATATAGACATTTTTTACATTTTATAGTAGACTTCTCTAACTTGATATGATACTATGATATAAAATATAGTTCTTCACAACATGTTTGATGATAATGTAAAATACAGATTACTTTGTCTTTTATTAGACTTTGTTTGAAACATCATAAAAGAATATCAAAAAGAAAACGTGAGGAGGGTTATAAGAGTCAAAAAACAAATTTGTCATAAAAGCAAACTTACCAGTTTACCAGAAAGAGGAAGACGTGTGTGGTTGACAGCTGTGTTGAACACTGTCTGGAGAGACTACACCCACATGACAGGAAGTATGAAGCAACCAACGACTGTGTTCGAGAGAATAGGGAAGGGTGTGTCAAAGTAGGCCACACATACTGATGTAAAAATAAATTGCACATTACATTGTCAGCCAGAAGGTCCCAGTAACATTTAAATCACTAAAATAAGAAATGTAGACTTGACCTGTGCCTGACTGCACGGAGGCTTGACTTTCTTGTGACTTTACCCCTGAAGACTTAATTAACTAGGGTTAGGGTTAGGGTTAGGGTTAGGTTTAGTAAGATGCGTGGCCCTCCTAAGAGGGCCACGAGGGGCACTGGCACAAGGGGGCTGTCCTTTAAAAAGGCTTTCATCAAAACCCTGAAATAAGACAGTTAAGACGATTTTATTAAAAACAGTCTAGGCAGCAGAGCGAC